GAAAGCGAAAAAAATGTATGTTTTTATTTTCTTTCTTGCATTTCCGATACTGATTTAGACATTCTTTGCAACTGCAAATAATTGTTAATAAAAACGCCAAAGTTTTAAAAATAAATAACTATAAATCCACTGTAAACAACTTTTTAAAACACTCCAATACAGCTAACGGCAACAATGTTTACAAAATGGCTATTATATGATTTAACGTAACGTCACTAACAGAAACCACGCGGAGATAAAATATGTTCGGAAGTATTCAGGCTTCATCGGTAATGTATTTAATTCGCAGATAAAAACCGTTCATAGGAGCAGCATCATTTTATGGGCAAAATAATCAAACATTCTATTTTACTCTACAAAATTTATATATCCTTAAAGTTTTGTATTTCATATTTATTCTGTTTATTGCCGAAATAATAGTAAATCTGAAAATATCATCTTACGTTGTCACACAGCTGTTCTCTTTGGAAATACGCATGCGTTCAGTCCCTTTAACTTGGATGTATCTCCATTCGTGTTGCACAAAGTATCTCTTTCTCTCTCAGTGTCGCATATGGGTTAGATATGTGGCTAGGGTTGCCAGATCTATTTCATGACAAACCCGGAGAAATTGATGTCCATAAAAAAAGGTCTTTAGAAGAAGTCAAAGCATTTATGAGGAAATCGATCTCTAAAAAAAAGGTCTACAGCAGCTCAATGGACAAAACAATGAGATCTCTCAGGAAAATAAATTTCGGGGGTACGACGTCTTAACCCGGAGAAATAACATATTAACCCGGAGCCCGGAGATGTACCATCAAAACCCGGAGACCTGGCAAGCCTATATGTGGCTAAACGTTCAACGTCGCGACAGGACGAGGGCCAGCTAACAAGTAGTCAATGGACTCAACCATCTACATCAAGAAGCCGCAGATTAAATGTTAGCGTGAGTAGTATCGCATGTTGGAATTGTGGTAATAATGGTCATACATTTTCGAAATGTGATAAAACGAGAGAAAAAACATTTTGTTTCAGATGTGGAAAGGTAGGCGCGACCAAATATAATTGCGAATGTGCTACAAAAAACGGATTAGGCGGTCGTCGTTTTACCGGGCGCCGATCGTAGATTCGCTAAAACCGGTCCCAACAAGCAACTCATGGCAAGCTTGGCTTTCTTTTATACAGGTTGAATATAAAAAGTCGCGTATCAACAATTTAATTTGCTCGTTAGATCAGGACTCTCGTCCGTTATTTAAATGTAAATATTTTCGGTATGTCTTTTTTAGGTCTGTTAGATTCAGGGGCGACCCAATCCATAATCGGAAGATCAGGTTGGGAAAAATTAAGTAATTTTAAGTTAGATTTAAAATATAGTAATAGTTCTATTAAGGTAGCAAACGGAGAGCACTGTCAACTTTTAGGTTTAAATTCGAGCAAACGAAAGGCAAAGAATCTATTAAGGTAGCAAACGGAGAGCACTGTCAACTTTTAGGTTTAATTAATTTGCCGATAAGACTTAATAGTAAAGTTAGGGTTATACAATGTCTAGTAACTCTAGATATTGACGAGGAAATTATTTTGGGGATAGATTTTTGGCGGGACATGAACATTGTATCAGATTTTGCGGCCAACTCGTGGAAGTTTAAGGAGGATATTCCGACTGTAGGAATTTCCTGTATTCAGTCGATTGGTGATAATGAAACGAGACGTTTGAATAAATTAGTTTCGTCTTTCTTTAATAAAATGGGGACCGAGCTAGGATGTGCAAAAGGCGTTAAACACATTATCAACACGGGGGATGCCGCGCCCATTAAACAACGCTATTATAACGTGTCACCATATATCCAAGAAATAATAAACAAGGAGATAGACNAAGCCGACGACCAACTTCGTAAGTTTAATATTAATTTTATTAGGACGCATCCTATATATTTTGCTAAGTTACAGTCGTACTGTTTCCTTTCAGGGCTTTTACCCCTTTGTTTTGTTCTTCCTTTTAACCACTCATCTACAACTGGTCATCCATTTCAACGATCTTCCAACGTTTTTGCCGAGTCGACGATATCGACCCACCACCATTTTGTGTACTCGCCACGACCTCGTGCCGAATTGCAGCTCACCGATCGCAGTGCCTGCCACAACCTTGTCAACTACTTGGACCCGTGCAGTGATTCCCTAGGTTTCCTGTACCCCTTTATGGGTAGGACTGATCAAACATAGATGACTTTGGCACCGAAAACGGACAACGGAACAGAATCTCGATCTACAGACCACGAACTTTAACGTTGACGACTCACGCTTGATTAGGACACGATTTGGAAGGGGACCTCTACAGGGTGGATAGTAAAACCAGCTATGGATTACGTAACTGTCAGGTTTTCTTAATTTCCACCATTTTTTTTTATTTTTTTAACGACTCGCTTTTTTGCTTTAGACATATTTTGAACCTAGTATTGGGGGGGGGTATTATATTATAGTATATATTATTATTATTATATTTATTGTTAAGTATCATTGTTATACGATAACGTGGATTTTACGGGATTTTTGGTTTAGGGAAAATATTAATATGGGATTTAACTAGCTTTGTTACCTATTTAACGTTAAGATTGTGTCTGTGAACCTTAAGTGATATCACCACAGGTATATAAATCCGAAGTAGGGATCAATGTGTATTTATTTTGCTTATTACTGGATGTAAATAATCATCAACCCAGGGTATATAAGTGATAGATCTTTAACTCTATGTTCGACTCTATATTTGATGACAGTCGTATTTTGTAGGTGAATACTAACGATCATTAAATTGGAGCTTATCTGATTTCGCCTCACACTTATTTTACCCTACCCAGGTCCGTTGCAGGAGGTTGATTCGTAAACAAGTGTAACTATTGTCATATTTTTAGTATCTGTTAAAGTAACCCAATTTTACTGTTTTGGATACCTTAGGTAATCATAGGGACCTTCTGACCAGGTAGCAGTTATAGTTTAGGTCAGTGGCGCCCACTTTCTTATTTAGAGAAATTAAGTATTGTAATAGTGTTCGTTGCGAACCACCCCTCTCCGGCTAAATCTGAGCTAAGCCGAAGCAAACACTTGCTGCGGTCCAAGACTTAAAAAAATAAAATTGTAATAGGTAGCTTGTGGTACCGTAACAACTTGCAGAAATAAGATACACAAGCATATCTGTTTTTGGTACCCAACGAATGCCCAATGTTTTAGATTGTTCGTTGTCACCAAGAATTATAACACTCATTGGATCAGACTTATTTTCAATTTTTTCTAGAAACCTAGAACTATTTGATGTCCATTTTCGAAGCGGAAATCGTACAGAATTTAATATAAAAATTATTTCTTTACAAATTGTAATAGCTTCTTGTTCAGAATCAAATCCAGTTATTAGGTCGTCTACATAAAAATCACGTATAATAATTTCTGATGCAATAGGAAATTGGTCTTGGAACTCATAACCGACCTGTTTCAAACATCTTATTGTTAAATAAGGTGCTGACTTCGTGCCATAAGTTACTGTATTCATCTCATAAACTGAAACACTTTCATTTGAATTATTTCTCCAAACAATTCGCTGTAAATGCCTATCGTCTGGATGAATAAGGATCTGCCTATACATTTTCTCGATATTTGCAAACATGACAAATGTATGTTGTTTAAATCGTAAAAGAATTGAAAATATATTATTTTGAATTGAAGGTCCAGTATATTGTAAGTCATTAATGAAAAAACCAGAATTAGATTTTGCAGAACCATCAAACACAACTAGTAGCTAGGTAGTTAAACACTCTTGACGAAGAACTCCATGATGAGGAAGATAAAATGCGAGTTTGGACTTATCAAATGGTCTCAATAATGACATATGTCCCAATTGGATATACTCTTGTATGAACTCACTATACATACATTTGACTCCGAATTGGTCTGAAATTTTCCTTCAATACTTTGAAGCCGTTTAATTGCGGTGTTCATGGAATTACCTAAAGGAGAGATAGAAGAATGCAATGGTATTTTAACCACAAATCTACCTTTTTTATATTTCTAGAAAAATTGTTTCCGAAATGATTTTCACAATCAGTATCATCAGAGGACATTATTATTTGTTTATTGGTTTCTTCGATTTCCCAAAATTTTTGAAGATTAACATTTATGTCATCATGTCTTGAAAAATTGCAATAAACCTTTTGAGATGGTATCTTAATAGCCCCAGATACTAGATGTTACTAGTTAATGTAACTTCTGAAACTTGATCTGATGTTTGCGGATGTGTGTGCTGTTTGTCAAGATGTAATAAAGTACTATGTTTTTGATGATAATTTTTGCACTTACCTTCTTTGCAGTCATTATATCTATGACCAAAACATAAACAGTCAATACATGGTATTAAATCTTTTATCCTATGAATTCTTTCAGGAATTGCAAGCTTTAAAAATTGTTCACAATTATAGATCATATGATTTTTTTTGCAAAAATTGCATTGAATATTTGATGCTAATAAAGACATTTGCTTTACACTTTTATTTATTGTTATGGCTTCAATACTTGATAAATACTCCTGCCTTATTATCTATATTAAATTCCTTTATATGAGATAATTTTGGAGATTCAAAATTCATTCGATATTTATCCCATTCCCGGGCAATAAATTTATCAAACTTAGTGGATATTAAATAAACAATTAATGTGTCCCAATGTTGTGTAGGCTGTTTTAACGTTTCTAGATCTTGCAAATGTCTGGACACAGTATCCATCAAATTTCTTAAACCAAATCGAGATTCTTTTGTCAAAGAATCTAACTCGAATAATGCCCTAACACAATTATGAATTAATTGTTTATTATTTGTTACGATTTATTTTTTTTTTTGGATATAATCTTACNAAGCGCGTATTGGCAGATCGAGTTGGACGAAAATAGTAAACAAATAACGGCGTTTACAGTTCCAGGTCGGGGATTGTACCAATTCAAGCGAATGCCTTTTGGATTGCATAACGCTGCTGCTACCTGGCAACATTTTGTAGATAATGTTCTCGGTGCAGAATTAGAACCGTCCGTATTCGTGTATCTAGATGACATAATTATAGCCACCCCCGATTTTGATACACATCTTTCTGCCTTAGAGAAAGTATTCGAAAAACTCCTGTCAGCCGGTTTAACAGTCAATAAAGAAAAATGTTCGTTCATGCGCCCAAAATTAAAATATTTAGGTTTCGTTGTGGACAAATATGGACTGCACACGGACCCTGACAAAATCGCTAGCATGTTAGGTTACCCCGTACCGAAAAACGTCAAGGATGTGCGTAGATTCATAGGAATGGTATCTTGGTACCGACGATTTATATCTAACTTTGCCACTCGCATTGCGCCTTTAGTCAGGCTGACTCGGAAAAATCAACAATTTATCTGGAGCCCCGAATGCGAAGACGCTTTTAAAGATGTAAAGCAATGTTTAATTGAGGCACCTATCTTAACGTGCCCTGATTTTAGTAGGGAATTTGTGTTGCAAACGGACGCGTCTCAAGTGGGACTCGGATGCGTTTTGACTCAAAACCTCGACGATGAGGAACGTGTAATATCTTATGCAAGCCGGTCTCTTACACCCCAGGAGAGAAAATATTCGACAACGGAGTTAGAATGTGCCGCGGTATTGTTTGGGATCGAAAAGTATCGACCTTACATAGAAGGGACGCGGTTTAAGGTTATCACGGACCATTACTCATTAAAATGGCTCTATAAATTAGAAAATCCATCTGGTAGGCTGTCGCGTTGGTCTTTACGATTACAAGGTTATGATTTTGAAGTAATCCACCGAAAAGGGAAATCTCACGTGGTTCCCGACGCACTCTCGCGGGCCGTCGCTTTCGTAGATGTTACTCGAGCGGATGAGGACACGTGGTACACTGACCTGAGGCGTAATATTTTGAATCGTCCGGATAAGTACGCGAAATTCAAGATAAAAAATGAGAGAATTTATAAATTAGTGAATCTCGGACATCCTACTTTCGAAGAAGAGAATGACTGGAAGCTGATAATTCCTAAATCATTGCGTAAAAAAGTTCTGTATGAATGCCACGACGATCCAAGTTCAGGGCACTTAGGCATATTTAAAACTCAAAAGCGCGCCGCAAATTTATATTTTTGGCCTGGAATGAATACGGATATAGCAAGATATGTTCGGGCCTGCGAAGTATGTAAGGCTCAGAAGCCCGACCAACGGTTACCGTTTGGGCAGATGAGCCCAAGGCTTGTGAGTCGTCCTTGGGAAGTCATTTCAACCGATTTTATTGGTCCCTTGCCCATGTCGCGAAATAGAAACCGGTTCATTTTAGTCGTTTGCGATTTATTTACCAAATATGTGCTTATGTTCCCTCTTAAGTCGGCCACTAGTACCGATATTTTCTTAATTTACGGAGTTCCGGAAATAATTATATGTGTTAACGGGCGTCAGTATGTTTCGAAAGCTGTCAAGGATATGGCTCGCTCGTATGACTGTCGGATAGTTTACAATGCGAACTATAGTCCGCAGGCTAACCCTACCGAACGTGTAAATAGAGTGCTGAAAACCATGATTAGATCATATGTTGGCGAAGATCATAGATCTTGGGATGTCAATTTAGGAAAGTTAGGTTATGCTTTGAGAACTGCTGTTCATGAGGTGACAGGATTTTCTCCCGCGTTTTTGAATTTCGGGCGCGTGCCGGTGATCTCAGGAAAAATGCACAGTATTGTGGGTGATACCGACCAAATATGTTTTGATGATAGACTAAAGTTGTCCGATCATGTAAAAGAAGTTCGGGAAGTTTTTACAGACGTGAAACAAAAATTACAAAAGGCTTATGGCGACGCTTCACAAAGGTACAATCTGAGGAGCCGACCGGTGGCGTTAAATACGGGTCAAACCATATGGAAAAGAAATTATACTTTATCGGACCGCGGAGTACTATGCTAAACTCGCCCCCAAATTCGTGAAATGTAAAGTCCTTAAGAGAATATATAGGAATATCTATGAATTAGCTGATTTTTATTCCAGCAAGTCTTTAGGATCATGGCACGTTAAAGATATTAAGATAGATTATTAATCCTTTTTTTTTGTTTTTTTTAGTAAAGGTGGTGTTACGATTAATTTTTTTTTTTAGATATAATCTTACGGTTAAATATTTGTAAGTCGGTTTGTTAGCTCTTAAATCGGTAGTATAATTAATTTTAATCAGACACTTAGAGACATCTGTAGGGGAAAAGCCAAATTAGTAAATTTAAATTCGAGCAAACAAAAGGCAAAGAAATAGATAACCATATCTCTGACGGAAAACGGGCCTCCTCGCGAAGAACAGAGCGTTTTAGAAAAAAAGGTTTTTTTTTCTTGTTGAAAATTAGTAGTAGTATATGGCCAGCTAGCGTGGAGATCGAAATTACGAATTTATTGTAAAGGCTGTAAAACGACGAAGACGACGCCTGTGGTTAAGAAATTTTGGTTGTTGGCGCCGTCTGTTTCCGTATTTTATTTGGGTCATTTTATCACGTCTCCAAGTGTTAGAGATTTCGGCATTGGAGGTAAGCGTGTTTCACATTATCTTTATAATAGAGTAAACCTACTAGAGTTTCAAAAAAAAGAAAGAAAAAGCAAAGAAAGTATCATTTAGCGTTTAATATTATTCGGTATTATGCCACGTTTCATTACTATTTTTAGGCGTTTTGTCCGGAGGCAGCAAAGGTTGTCCACGCCCGAGGTGTTTTTGCTGTTGGGTTCTTTTTTTTTTTTTGTAAGAAGAATTTGCCTACTGTTTGACGCGAGTCGTCCCATGATTATGTAGATATCCAGTGGAAAGCAGATTTGGCTCTTTCCAATGATTACTCCTGCTGCAGTTACTACACAGCTAAGTACCACAACACCCTTTTTTTTTGTTTGAGGCAACTTATGCCACACTTCATCGTTTCTTCGATCAATATTACCCACACGTTATTACATTTGCTAAGAAGAGTGTAAATAGTTTTAAATTTTAGTATAAGGTTAGTGTCATAAAAATCTTAGTAGTGTCTAATAATAAAGGGGTATCTATTTATGCTTAAGTAAACTTCTGTATCGTCTCGGTCGAATAAGGCCATAATGTTGTCATTGTTATTAGTTTTAAGATAACTGGTATACATTGTTTTTTTTATTGCCGCCAATAAAGCTATGATGACTATTTAGTGGTTTCATCATTGTGGTTATTTCACGAATTTATTTTTTTTGTCTACTCTATTACTTTGGCGAAGGGCAGTAAATATTTCTGAAACCACTTGGCGCCCAATTTTTTTTTATTAGTAGGATCCACGCCCCCACTGAGAAATCAACTAGCCAAAAACAAAAATTACTACCCTAGCAAAAACAAACAGGTAACATCACTGTTATTTAAAAATTAAAATTTATTTAAAGTTAAATAAATAAATAAGAAAAAAATAATAAAGGGGGAGATAAAAAGGGGTAACAAGAAATTGACGCCCATAACATGGGGCCTGCAAGTCTGTTTTATCGTACCATTGCTGTTTTTGTAAAAATTTAGATACCAGTAATTCTGCAAATTGGTACATTTTGTAGTGTTTTATTATATACATTTATTTGTAATAGGTATATATGTGGTATATATTACCTGGTCTGTTAAGTGGGTTAATATTGATCGAGATATATGCATTTTGTAGACGTTAGTTATTTATTTAGGTTTTTTAATTTGTTGAAGTTTTATTCAAAACTTATTAAAGATAATAATTAAAGTAGTTATCGGTTTAAGTAATGTAAATAATGTTAATAGTTTTNATGCCTCACCCTCCAAACATGACCTCAAATAATGGAACCGTTGAACATTACTAATTGTTTTAATTTCAAACGTATGTTTGAACATTAACCAGTCATCAAATTTTCCATCGAATTTGCCAAGATCAGTTTCAGGTAATTTTAACTCATTATATTGACTACTTGTTTGTGAAACAGTACCTTGAATAGAATTTACATTAGTATTGTCAGTAACATCTACTGCCTTTACAAATTGATTTGATAATATTTTAGCATCTGCTAATATAGAATGGTACTTAGATATAAAACCATCGCGATCTTGATCCTGTTGTTCTAACGGGTGTGAATACAGCAACGGTTTTCCAGCAACGGTTTTTCAGATTATGATTTTCGTTCATGTGGTAATGCCTGTTAAAATTTTCAACATTTATAGATTCAAATGACTCGAAAATCGGATATATACGGGGTATATATTTCCAGTTCTCACACCTAAGGGTGGATGCCGCCCTTACGTGAATATTGTAAATTTATATACTATTTCATGATGTCTGTTAAATTTCTTTATGTGAATAGCTTAAATTATCCCCTTCTACAAAGTTCTGTTTGTTTTTATAAATGCCCGGGCCGTATTAAGGGTGACAGCCACCCTTATGTATAAAAAATGCTTATTAAAATTATTTGTTGATGTCTGTTAAATTATTATAAGTGATTCGCTTAAATTATCTCTTCCAACAAAGTCCTGTATGTTTTTATATATGCCCGGACCGTATTAAGGGTGGCAGCCACCCTTATGAATAAAAAATGCTTTTAAAAATTATTTATTGATGTCTGTTAAATTTTTTTACGTGAATAGTTTAAATTAACCCCTTCTACAAAGTTTTGTATGTTTTTATAAATGCCCGGGCCGTATTAAGGGTGGTAGCCACCCTTATGTATAAAAATGCTTATAAAAATTATTTGTTGATGTCTGATTCCATAGAACACTTAAAGCTGCTCTGATAGCAAAATGCGAAACCAATAATTGGGTCAAAGAACTACCTATAGTTCTTTTAGGAATAAGAGCATCTATTAAAAGTGATCTAGACTGCTCTTCAGCAGAACTAGTTTACGGTCAACCTTTAAGACTACCAGGTGAATTCTTTATCAATTCACAGCAGAGAGCATTGCACAGCAGAGTATTGACACTTATCCTGTACTCATTGGTTTACGAGAGGCTTTCGCTAATATTAAACTTACTACGACTAGTAATCATTCAAATAATAAACCTTTTATTTCCACAGACTTGTTAACCTGTAAATACATATTTTTAAGGTCCGAAAAACTTAAATCTCGTTTATTACCTAAGTATGAAGGTCCTTACAAGATTATTAAGAGATTCGACAAAACATTAGTTAGCTTCAAAGATAATAAAGAAATGGTGGTCAGCTTAGATAGAGTCAAACCTGCATTTATGTTGGCAGAAAATTTAGAAAACACGTCATGTAGCAATTATCAAAAAAAAGGTTACATTCGTTTTAAATTGATATTTTTTTTTTGAAGGGGGAGTAGCTGTAGTGATTGTCTTACTACCTGTAGTTATATCTTATTACCTATCTTTGTATATAATATTTAGCTATTTTTATCAGATCAGCTAGGGTCTGGTAGCTAGGGAAAATGTATTGACAAACAAAAAAATACTTTGTATTAACAGAAAATAATAAAACCTAAAATATTTTGAGGTCTCATACTTTGCAAATTAATTTATATCAACCAGAATCTAAAACATACTATTTATGTTGTGCTAACCGTACATCGGCAACATACTGCCACCCTTAATACGGGCCGGGAATTTATAAAAACATACAGGACTTTGTAGAAGGGGATAATTGAAGCTATTCTCGTAGACAAATTTAACAGACATCATGAAATAATATATAAGTTTACAATATTCACGTAAGGGCGGTGTCCACCCTTAGGTATGAGAACTGGAAATATATACCCCGTATATTAATCCGATTTTCGAGTCATTTGATTCTACAAATGTTGAAAATTTTAACAAGTATTACCTCATGAACGAAAATCATAATCTGAAAAACCGTTGCTGGAAAACCGTTGCTGTATTCACACCCGTGTTTTTCTAAATCAACTTCATCGCAAATTGACTATTTCATTTTGAATCTGATTAAATTCTGAAAATAATATTCTAAATTTTTCACAACGATCTTGTAATTCAATAATTGTTATCAATCGCAGATAACTCTTGAATTGATTTCACAAAATTGCTCAAAATTGGTTAGAGATCGCTTCACAGCACGTCTTTTCCGAGTCAGTTTCGTTAACTCGGCTGCCATTTTAATAGATTGTTAATAAATTGTTAATCGTTTATAATAGCTTGTTTTAAATTGTCTAAGAATTGAATAAAGCAAGTAATGGTTTGAAATAGGGATGAAATCGTATGTAATTGTATTGAACTGTCAAAACTGTCAAAAAAAATTGAAGATCTTTTGAATTTGTAAGTGAATTTTACACTTTTGTATTTAAAACAATTAATAGAAAGACAACATGACAGTAAATTAGTTTTGCACCTAACTTGTCAGTTAACAATACAAAAATTATAATTAATAGCTTACTTTGAATTGTTCTAATCCAGACAGAATCGAAAATTGATTTATTCAGAGTTGTACTGGGAATGTAATGGAAGGAACTCATGAACTTAGGACCTCACTTCTTCGCCTGCTGCTACTGCGTACACCGTTGTGGGGTTAGATCGTATCTCAGTGCATGGCTCCAACCTTTGCTCGGCTATGACTTGGGAAGTGGTGTTCATAGATAAATGATACTATTTATAGTAGTATTTTTGTTGCCTGTCACCTGTGTTCCCCGTCGCCTGTCAATTTGCCTCAGCGAAGATGGACAAATCGATAGAGAGGACTGTATAAACTCTTGTGCTGATTTGAATAATTTTTTTATTTCCCGAATGTTGTACAATTGGATAAATACATTAATAAAATTTACAAAAACATGTCATTAATTTAATTTGATTATTAACAACTTTTTGTTTGTTTTTTCGTGTTGCTCTGCAACCGTCTCTATACAACATATATCATAT